ACACTGAGGGTTGCGATCTGTTGCCGGACACGAAAAAAGACAAAAAGACAAAAAAAAAAAACAAAAACAAATTCCTCTTATGAATGTTTTGGTTATCTATTGCTGCCTAATAAACCTAATAAACTGGAATGATCCAGTGAGCGCCCCGGCCATCCCTATATAGGATCCGAACCCGCTCGGCCCTGGAATGATCTTTTTAAAAAACAAAACAAGGGCCGGCCCCGTGGCTCGCTCGGGGGAGTGCGGCGCTGGTAGCGCCAAGGCCACAGGTTCAGATCCTATACAGGGATGGCCGGTGTGCGCACTGGCTGAGCACCGAGCTGAGGGTTGTGATCCCCTTACTGGTCAGGAAAAAAACAAAACAAAACAAAAAATTCCTCTTATGTTTGAGGGACATTAGTAAGCTTTTCATGACGTCGACATAGTCAAAGAGGAGATTAAATGTATGTTTCTGATCAGAAATTTCCTCATGGCCAGATATTATCTCTTTCATCTAGCAATAGGGGGACTCCAAGTTCTCATTTTGACTTTTCAATTAACTGGCCAGTGAACATGTTTGGAGTGCCTGCTGTCAAAAAGGAGCTGGGCTAGGTGCTGTATAAAATAAAGAGCTAAGACACAGCAGTGTATACTGTTGGAAATAAAGTATACTCATGTAAAAAGCTATCTGTAAAAGGTGCTGTAACTAAAGTGAAAAATGAATGAGGTAACAAGTACTGTGTTCTGAGGAGGGAGCAACCACTGTTGGATTCCTGTGAGAACAGGCTGCAGAGGGCTGAGCCTGGCCTTGGAGGGTGCATACTACTACATGAGTGGATGTTACCTCCTCATGGTGTGACCATGAGCAAACCTTTAGTAAAAGCCACTGGTTACCGAGTACCTGTTGTGTGTAAGGCAGTCACAAGCACTTTACCTACAAAGTGAGACATTATGGTTAAGAGTAATCAAGAGTATGGTGTTGGTGTTATCATAGTTTCACCAATGAGGAAATTGGAGTTTAAAGGGGTTAAACAATGTACTCAAATTCACCCAGGATGTGATTCACACCCAGCTGTGGCTCTTGGCTAACAAACTATGGTGCCTCTCCAGCCAAATCTTTCTGTATCTTCATTGCTCATCTTTAATACA